CCAAAGTGAACTGAAGCTATTCTCAGTGCCAACAAGGTCTTGAAGGGCTGGGGATTTAGCTCAGTGGCACAGCGCCTGCCTGGCAAGTGCGACATCATGAGTTCAATTCCTGGTACCGGAAAAGAAAAGACCCCTAAAAAACAAAACAAGGTCCTGAGCTCCTTGGAGGATGAAAACAGCCAAGTTCGTCAGGAAAGCCAGCGTGACAAGCTCCTCCAACAGAACCAACAGCTCCTTACAGCTTCCACCAGCTCTGTCTTCCCAACAGCCTCTGTCAGCTCCCAACAGCCTTCCTTCTTCTCTAGTTCTGCCTCTTATGCTGCTGGCTACAATCCCATGGCAGGCTTCCCACACCCAGCACCACGCTTACTCAGTTCAGCTGGGGGTTATACGTTGACCACCAGTTATCAATCCGCCACAGGGACGTAGTGGATCACCTCGAGTTCAAGGCCAACCCGGGCTACATAGTAAGTACAAGGACAGCCTACACTACATATCGAGACCCTGTCTCAAACAAAGAAGCAGTCCAACTTGGGGTATAGTAGGTTGCAAGTCTGAGCCCAGCTTGGACAACTCTGCTGTCTCAAGCGAGTAAAAGGCTGGGATGTAGCTCCGTGGTCGGGCACTTGCCTGGCATGTGTAAGGCCCCGGTACCATCCCCCGTACCATAAAAGGAAAAAAATAAAAGATGTTTCGTAACGGCTCTGTGGTTAGCGGCGGGTACTCTTCGTGGTTTCTAGAGGCATATCTTGGTTCCCAGAGCTGGAAGCTCCCTCCCAGCTGGGGTCCAGCTGGGAACCCCCCCCGCCCCCCCCACGCGCGCACACACACTCCCCCGCGGCTTTTAGATCCAGCCTCCTCCTTTTCCCTCTGGCCCTGGCCCGCTGCAGGAATTTCCCCCATGCCTCCCGCCTCACTTGCGTTTACCCGCAGGAGACTGATCTCTCCTAGCGGAGGGAGGAGAAGGCGAAACCAGTTTCCTGCCCGTTTCCTGTGGTTCTCCTCTGAAAACCCTCGCCCGAGGTCGTCCTCCTGCAGACCGAGCCTGTGGAACGTGACTCCAGTCCCACTGCCGGGGGTGGCGGAGCTGGATCTCAAACCGGCCTGGCCCGGGGCAGGATGCGCTCTTGTCATTGCTGTGTTTGTAACCCGTCACAGCTTGAGCTGCTAGGGGTGTGCTTGGTGCACACCCTGCGGCTTGGGGTCCGCGTGCTCCGGGCGTCTCCTGCCACTCTCGGGCAGGCGCTCGGCCTCGCTTACCATGTGGCACCGCGTGGATGTAGAGTAGCCTGGGCGTGTCACCAGGCTAGGCGGAGGGAGGTACCCTGGGCCTCCCACTAGCACTTGGAGGACAGGCCTCATGGCTGGGGCCTCTACCGGTCAAGCCTGGGCTCCTCCCCAGGACTCTGGGGACCATTCTGCAGAAGCGGGTGGTGTCTTCTGTCCCCATCCCAACCGACTCCTGGCTCCCAGGCTCCTGGTTACCCTGGAGTCTGCGGGCCTCTTCCGCTGACCGCGTGCTCTGTAGTGGTGCCCTCTAGTCATGTCTTCATGGGAGGAGGAGGAGGAGAAGCAAACAGATTTAGCCTACTTCCAAAGGAAGCAGGAGGTGGTCCAACCACGATGCCCCTGCCGGAGCAGAGGGTACGAGAGCAAAGGAGAGGGTGACTTTGGGACGGGGACAGCCTCTTTCCCAGACTTCCAGTGCCTCAGAGGGGTCCCCGAGGACCCGACAACGTGTGATGGGCCCCCTCTGCAGGAAATGAGGAGCCCATCCCTCCCCAGGGGTTTACTTTCAGGGACCACATCTAAACCCAGCACGGCAGCCAGGTACAGGGGCAGATGCCTGTCATCCCAGCTACTCGGGAGGCTGAGGCAGGGCGATCATGAGTTCAAGGCTAACTTGAGCAATTTAGAGAGACTAGCTTAAAATAAAAAGGGCTGAGGCTGTAGTTCAGTGGCAGAGAATTTGCCTGGCGTGTGGGAGGCCTGGGTTTGACCCTCAGTACCAAGAGGGAGAAGCCGGACAGGCAGAGAACAGCTGCACCCTGGACGGGCCCGGCCAGGTCCTCCTGGCCGACCTTTGCGGAGCCCTTCAGGTCTGATCCGTGTCATTACCGTGGATGAGCTGTTGGCCTGGGCTGTGGAGGTGGACGGCATTGCCACCAAGTCTTCCCTGTGGTCCTCGAGGGCACAGGTGACCGGGGAAGGTTCCCTGGCAGCGCCCGGGGGGATTAGCAGGGCAGCGGACTTTTCAGGGTCTTTGCAGGCCCCCGGGGGAGGCTGCCCAGGCACATCCTGCCTTCCAAAGGACACAGCCCGCAGGGCGGCAGGCTGAAGGGACAGCAGGGCCAGAGTCCACTGTCCTCGGCCACGGAGGGCGGCTGGGCAAGGCTGGGTCCGCGTGGCCACCGCAGTCCGAGTGTTGTGCCCAGGTCCCCCCCACCTCTCCCTTCCTCCCCTTTCGGGAGGGTGGGGTGGGGCGCTGGGGCGGATCCCGCAGGGTGGCAGAGACCACTGGTGGGCAATGGGCATGAGATGGCACCTCCTCCACAGAGAAAGCTGGGGACACGAGGGAGCCCCAGACCGCGCCCCGCTCCGGTGTAACATGCGTGTTTGGCACGGCCCCCGTGCTGGCCCAACGTGGGTGCTGCGGTGTTGAAAGCCCACAGCCCCTAAGGCGTGTTCCGTGCCAGCTTTGCAAATGCGGGCATTGAGACCTGGGAGTGGAGCTCAGTGCTAGAGCTCTTCGTGGTGGAGGTCCTGGGTTCAACTCCCAGTGCTGAGGGGAAAAAAGAGTATTTGCCGAGTGTAGTGGTGCTCACCTGTAATCCCAGCACTCCGAGAGGCTGAGGCAGGAGGATGGCAAGTTAGAGCCCAGCCTGGGTGACTCAGTGAGATCTTATCTCGAAATGAAAAGGTAAAACTAGATGTGTTGGTGCATGCCTGTAATCTCAGCCTCCAGGGAGGCCGAGGCAGGAGGATTTCCACGAGTTCAAGGCCAGCCTTGAACTACATAATGAGATCCTATCTCAAAAAAATTTAAATGAAATATAGGCTCAGCACCTTCTGGAAGCTTCCTTGTTCTTCCTCCTGGTCCTGGGGAGGGCTGCTATCCTTTCCTTCCCCGAGAGCTCATGGATGGCTCCTCTTGGCCCTGCGCTGCCCTCCCCAGGGCCTGGGCTGTGCCCGTCCAGGTGGCCACTTTAATGGGCAGCCTTCTTTATTTTAACTAAGGACCACTGTAATCCCAGGATTTGAGAGGCTGAGACAGGAGGACCACAAGTTCGAGGCCAGTCTGGGTGATATAGTGAGAGCCTGTTTTAAAAACAAAAGAAAACAAAACACAAAAAGAAACAAAACAGGTAGCATAGCACCTGCCTGGCAAGCTCAAGGTCCTGAGTTCGATTCCCGGTACCAACAACAACAAAAAGAAACAAAACAGAACACATATACATAGTTCACAAAACCAAGCGGCTTTGTGTCATTTTGTAAAAATTTGTAAAAGTGAGGTGTTCAGGTGGGGTGTGGTAGCTCACACCTGTGATCCTACCTACTCTGGAGGCTGAGGCAGGAGGGTGAGAATTCAAGGCCAGCCTGGCAACTTCGTGAGACCCTGTCTCAGAAATCAAATAATAATATTGGAGGCCAAGGATGAGCTCATACAGGGTGAAAGTGAAAACGGTAAGATAAATAATGTGAGGCTTTCCGGAGAAGCAGTTCCAAGCCGAAACAGCTCATGTAGGACCGGACCAGCAGCAGATGGGAGGTTCCATGGGTGGAAAACTAGGGGGGCAGGGAGACCCCAAAGAGAAAACATTGACAAGTGGCAGTGGCTCCCATTTTGTGGGACAGGGGAGATACCGGGACGTGAACCCAGGATCTTCACCCTAAGCTGCATGCTCAGCACTTTCTTCCTTCAGCCTTTCTATGTAATTCGAGGTAGCCTGGAACTGTGTAGCCCAGGCTGGGATTGAATTAGGGTGATCCTCCTGCCTTAGCCTCCT